TTTGGGCACAAATTGCAAGATATTGAAGATAATACAGAAAGTAGGTAAAATAGCTACTTTGGGTATAGGTTTAAGTACTTACGTAGCTATTAATAGCTAGGTAGGTGGAAATAGTCTTTGGACTTGACCTGGTCAACAGTGTATTCTGCAGATAAAAATGTACAGCAGGTTTGGTACAATCACTAGATTTAGCTATGTAGCTTGATTTACCTACATAGCTTTATTTACCTACCTAAGGTAGCTTTATTTAGCTACCAAATTGGTTTATTTCTATTTAAATGCATTTTTCTCAGGGTGTGCAGAAAATATCATTTTGATGCAGTGATCATTTTCAACTTTGAACTCATCTGAAAACAACTCATAAAAAAATCTCTCTTGGAAAAATGTTTTTTTCTGCGCAATTGCAATCAAAGTTCTGAAAGTTTTGGGGCTAAGTATGACAGTAAGAACAGTTAACCCTTGGATGAAATGACAAAGATGTCCAGTTCCGGTTAACACGATAATAGGTCGGTAATTATTCAGTACAATGTGAAGTAATCATACTCAGTCATGCCTCACCGCACGGACAGCTAACCAAACAATGGAATTACACGTTTTGCTCTAAATTGTCCAAACGCAGCAATTTATAAACTATGTTAGTCCGAAAAATCTGAAGTTTTCCTGGCTTTTTTACGATTTTGATATTTTACATGCCAGGAAAACTTGCACGATTTTAAAATGCACGAAATGAAAACAAATCTCGACAGTCAGATAAAATGTGTTCATCGGATTATATTATTTCATAAACGAAACATAAAAACGATGTTGGTGAGTACTAAAGGTTTTGTACTATTGATAATATGTGAATTCAGCATTTAATTCGGTTTACAAGTATCGAAAATCAACCTCTGAATGCCGCCTCCGGTTGGAGGCAGCGATTTCCCAGTTTTCGTAATGGCGCCGGTTCTGACGTTTTCCTGGCATGTAAAATATGAAAATCGTAAAAAAGCCAGAAAAACGTCAGATTTTTCGGACTCAAACTATGTCTGCTTTGGATTGTTTTTTTTAAGCCTCCCTAGTATAAATATCAATCGTCATTTAATTGCGACTTTTTGTCTCTTTTTAATAAAAAGAAAATTTTTGAAAACTTACCGTGAAATAGCTAAATAAAGCTACCTGAGGTAGGTAAATAAAGCTACGTAGGTAATTCTACCTACGTAGCTAAATCTAGTGATTGTACTGGACCTGTACAGAGAATCAATGTCAAGAACATTCTAAAAACAACTTTATATAGAAACTAAAACTTACTTTAGAGACGTATGTTGATTTGATGAGTAATTCTAAACAAAGTCAACGAGTTCCAGCAACGCCAGAGAGTCAGAACCGAGAAGTTGGAGAAATCCGAGAATCAGTGCCAACGTGGTTTCACAACCGGAAAATGACGAAAGTCAAATAATACGCGACTTGAAGACGGATCCGTTCCGGAATTTACTACAAGAAAAACCCGCTCGCTACGCTCACTGGCAGGAATTATGCCTGTTTATCATTTATTTTCAATTTATTAACAAAATTTCCGACTCCTGTGGTACACCTTTGAATGAAATTATGTCCCTTGTGGTTTTTTCCCATTTTGCTGATGTTTTGCACACATTTGAATATTTCAAACATAGAAAAAAATGTGACATATGTCGGTAGTTATCTGATTTTTTTTTTTTTTTTACAGTGGATGTCAGATTAAGAACTTTCTTTTTCTTTTTTTTAGCATATCATGAAATTCATAAATTGCCAAAATGTACTGGAAAAATTGTGATCAGATTTACACGTGTATTATAAAATACCCACGTGTACATGTAGTTATAAGTTATGGAATTTTTTTTTTCATTTTTAGATCCTGCTGCTCATTTAGATACTATAGTATATTTTAAAAATCCTTTGAGTTCTTCCAAATCACGAAAAGCTTATTTATTTTTCTCTTCAAAAAGTAATTCTTTGAAAAACATAACTCATATAATTAGCTTGACCCAATTGTTTGCTAGCATTTAGCAATGTTTAATGTTCAAACTAAAGTCTCAAGAACTGATTTTTGCATTTTTCTTGATAAATCAATCTTGTTAAAAAGCAAATATGATCTAAATAGCCAAAAAAAAAAAAAAAACAACAAGATCCTTAATAAGTGATCTGTGAACTACCAGAGACATAAAAATCAGGCATTTCTTTATTTAGATAACTTTGACCTCTGACCTTGTAAATTTTAAGATCAAAGATTGAAAAACCTTAAATGCTGTTGTTGCTCTTATGTTTCTCCAACCTAAAATTTCATTATTTGTAAAATATTTCAATATTTGTAAACTTCATTAACTTCTAGAGGCATAATAAATCACAAGAGAGTTTTAAGAATCCTTTCACATTGAATTCATTAAGAGTCCTTAATTAGTCAATGACAATGATAAAGACAATAATTATTATAGGGGTTAAAAATAGGGAACAAGAATGAATTGTTGAAATAGTTTTAAGATTACTTATTAGTTATTAATGATGCAAAGATGTATATGTTGAGAGACAAAGAGTTATGAAAAGAGCTTAATTTCTCAAATTTTTTGAGGGATAGTGATTACAAGGATTAATGTGAAAGAGGCAATAACTTTTCAACTGTTCAAGGAATCAATCATCAGAGACAAGAATGATATCTTTGAAATAGTTCTAAGAGTACATATGAATGATGCAAAGATATAAAGTATACATCTACAGACCAAAAAGATATGAAAGAGCATAATTTCTCATCTTTGGTATGACCTTGACCTCTGATCTTGAAGAAATATTCTAGGTGACTGGTAAATGGTCAAGGGTTACATTGAAATTGACCCCATGTCTCTACCGCTTATAGTTGTAAAGTTATAAGGTTTATTAGCAATAACAAAGACGTTAAAGAGTGATAACTCATATACATTGGGTCATCACATCCTTTCGCACTGAATAGATTCAAGTTGTGTCTAAAACCCTGAAGAGATTAGTGAAGGTTTTGTGTCTCTACCGTATACAGTTTCAGAGGAGTATATAGGATAACAACTAACAAGGTTTTTTGCATAAGGGGCATTTTATAACTTTTAAAAAGGTCAATCCTAGGGAATAAGAATAGAATCTTTGACATAGTTTTAAAAGTACATATCATTGATGCAAAGACACATAGTATATGATGAAAGACAATAGAGGTATAAAAAAGAGCATAAATTCTATGTTTAGGAATGACCTTGAACTTTGCTTAAATTTCAAGGTCAAGTCAAAGATCAATGAATCTTCTACAGTGGGTCTCATGTCTCTACGACTTCTAGTTTTGAAAATTTTTGATTATATTTAAAATTCAAAAAGTTTCAAGTGCAATGATCGACTCATTTCAAGGGTTAACGAACACTTTCGCAATGATTAGAATGAAGAGTGTACTAAATTAGTCAAAGACTTTAGTAAAGATTTCATTTCTTTATGGTTTACTGTTTCAGAGGAGTAGCGATAACAAGACATTTTACTCAAGGGGCAATAACTTTTAAAAGAATCAATACAAGGGGACAAGAATAAAATCTTTGAAATATTTTTAAGAGGACATTTTAATGATGCAAAGAAAGATAGTATATGTTGATAGACAAAAGAGATATAAAAAGAGCTGAATTTATCATTTTTGAAATGACCTTGACCATTAATTTTTCCTAAATTTCATGGTCAAAGGTCAATGAATCTTCTACAGTTGGTCCCATGTCTCTACAACTTTTTGTTTTGAAAATTTTTAATTATATTAAAAATTCAAAAACTTTCAGGGGTAATAATTCATTGAAAAGGTTAATGATTACTTTCACAATTATAGACAAAAGAGTGTACTAAATTAGTTAAATACTTTAGTGAAGATTTCATTCTTCTATAGATTACGGTTTCAGAGGATTAGTGATAACAAGATTTTTCACTTAAGGGGCAATAACTTTTGAAAGGGTCAATTTTTGGGGACAAGAATATAATCATTGAAACAGTTATTAGAGTACATATTCATGATCCAAAGACATAAAGTATATGTTGAAAGACAAAAGAGATATAAAAAGAACTTAATTTCTCATTTTTGGAATGACCTTGACCTTTGACCTTTCATACATTTCAAGGTCAAAGGTCAATAAATCTTATGCAGTTGGTCCCGTGTCTCTATGACTTCTTGTTTTGAAAAATTTTAATTATTTGTAAAAATCAAAAAGTTTCAGGGGCAAAAACTCATTCGAGGGGTGAACAAATACTTTCGTAATGCATCAATGGTGTGTCTCCTAAATTAGTTGAAGACTTTAGTGAAGATTTCATTTATCTACGGTTTACGTTTTCAGAGGAGTAGCGATAACAAAATTTTTCACTCAAGGGGCAATAACTTTTGAGAGGGTCAATTTTAGGGGACAAGAATATAATCTTTGAACAGTTTTAAAAGTACATATTTATGATGCAAAAAAATAATGTGTATGTTGAAAGGCAAAAGAGATATAAAAAGAGCTTAATTTCTCATTTTTGGAATGACCTTGACCTTTGACCTTTTCATAAATTTCAAGATCAAAGGTCAATGAATCTTATGCAGTTGGTCCCGTGTCTCTATGACTTCTCGTTTTGAAAAATTTTAATTATTTGTAAAATTCAAAAAGTTTCAGGGGCAATAATTCATTGAAGGGTTCACCGAATGCTTTCGCAATGAATAGATTGAAGTGTCCCCATAATTAGTCGAAGACATTGGTGAAGGTTTCATACCTCTGTGGTTTACGGTTTCAAAGGAGTAGCGATAACAAGCATTTCTTGCGAAAGGGGCAATAACCTTGAAAGGGGTTAAGGTTCATTTACGCAGGGTGAACTGCAATAATCTTTTACGGAGTACATTATTATGGACTATAAATCTTTTCGATATATCTTGAAACTCAAAATCACACGGCGGAAAAATAATAATAATGGAAAAGAAGAAACAGAAGGAAATCAATAGGTCTTTCCACAGAAAGGTGGAAAGACCTAATAATAAAGACTGATTAATAATTGAAATCGTCTTTAATGCTATTTTACAATGTTAATAATAACCAGATCTTAAGTGTTGATACTATACACGGGATCTGGAAGACCCTGTTATAGAAGTGTATTGGTGTTGTTTTCTTTCTCGATGTTCTTTCAGATGTTGGTAATCCGGAATTTCATCGTATCTGCTTTTTGGCTCTTCGTATGAATGCCTGACTCCTGGAGCATTTCCCTCTGGCCTAGAAGTGGCATCCTCTCGTGGATGGTGTAGTGGCTTGTATTCATGACTTTCATCAGCAACTTCTGTCATTTGGTATTGGTCCAATTTTGTCCGCCTCTGTTTCTTTGGAAGATGACCCGATGACTTCACCGATTTGTCTTGGTTAGAGATAGGAGTAAGATATTGCTCCTTCAGAGGTTTTTCTTCTTTATCTGTAGATTTATCATCAACGCTGCTATTTGTTTTGAGTGTCCTTTCTGTAAATTGCGGTGAAAATATAATCAGTGTATTTAAAAGGAGAAAAATTAATACACTTAAGAAATTTTTCAATCATACTAACCATAAAACAATTTTGATCGCCTGGTAAGAGCACCTGCCACGGCCAAGCATATCAACCCAAATGTTACGCCCAGCGCCCCTATGATCTCTCCTTGGTAGGATTTGATGCACTTGCAGTCAGTCGTCTCAGACAGAAGGTCTTTTTAGGATAAAAAAAAAAGCAATGCCAAAATTGACATATTAAATTACTCTTAAACTCTAATTTTTAAATGATAGATGGATGGTGTATGTTACTTACCGACACAGCCGATCTTGACGTCACACCTCTGAGTTTCGGTGCAGTTGCACCGATATCGACATCCAAATCCATAGTGACCACATTCACATTTTTGCTGGCAGTCTTTACCATATCGGCCTATACATGCTGTAAAAGAATTACAGGTAAATGAAATATGGAGACAACAGAAAATATTTAAGCTCACATGCCCATTCTAACAATATAATTGAGTAACAGTGTACAGACGCACCTTTAAAATGTCACAGCCGGGAATCAGGTGTCATGGAGGAGTTAACATCTCCTTTCGATCGATCACACCGGCCATGTGGTCCTTGTCATGATTGTAGAAAAACAGAAAAGCTGTAGACAGTTCAATATGTAAATAATGGCCTAACAAAAAGTATTAAAAACGTCAGTCGGCAGACACGTCAATGAATTAAATGTAACCTTATCGTCTGTATAAACCTAGACTCGTCAACATGGTAACCTTAACATATACAAACAGGGAAATTAAAATATTAAATAATAGAAATTGCTTGATTCCAACAATCTATTGCAATCCCCATAGGTACAAATTGCGCTCCGTTATTAGCAGACCTATTTTAGTATACATATGAAGAAGAATTTGTACAAAATCCTATATGTGAAAAGAAGAAAACACTTGCTGTGGCCTTCATCTCGACATTTAGATATATAGTCGACGTATTTTCAATTAACAAAG